TTTGTTTTCTTGGGTCTTTTTACAGTAGAAGGGAATTCATTTGTTTTCTTGGATCTTTTACAGTAGAAGAGACTAAAAGAAAAACTAAGGCCTCTACGGAAATAGTTCAAATGACACTGAAATTGTTACTTATCATCAATCAACGTTTCACTATCATCCACCCAATTTTTTTTTTCCAACTGATTTCGTCAGCCTTTTTTTACAATTCCCAGTGGAATATGTTGGCATCAGCATTTTGAGCATTTTGAACACTTCCTTTTTTTTTTTGTATTCCTCTTCGCCTATTACTGATCATAAAGAGAAGGAATCAAACCATTCTATATTGGACTCCTTTACTAACATAAGGCAAAGTATTCAAGACCGTATCAATTTAAGATTACCACTGCCATTGCAAACGTCAAACGTCCTGATCATGGTCTATATAACGACCATATTTCTGTTACCTAGAGATGAAAACGAAGCAGCCATTATGATGAAACGCGATGTGCAAAAGAAAAAAAATGAAAAAACCCCAAAGTGATGTCTTATTGCCACCAATCTAAATTCCAGTCAATACTATGTTATGTTTCTGATATCATACTTAACAAAATCCAGAAGTGCTAGTTCCAATTCCAGTTCCTAGCTACCACCTTCATCAACTCCAAAAACAAACAAACGAATGATTTTTCATTTCCTCATTTAAAAATCAATAGTGATTTCCAATAGATATCATGAAATGAATGAAGAAACAAATATTTATTACTAAAGAATAAGGCAATGCGAAAACACAGAATAGCAAAAACTATCAACAAATTTTTTCATACAACCAAACACTATCAAAGCCACTTCCAACGGTGGAAAGCAACAGCCACTGAGTGTTCCCCTCAGATGGCGGTAATGGGAAACGACAAGCTATCAAAAAGGAACCAATCTTCATTTCTACAATTTTCATCGACAAGTCACTCATCTGCAAATTTATTTCGTTTACTTTATGTAGAAATGAAGTATTCATAGCATAGCTACCTCAAGGTATAGCGAGAGTCTTGGTTCTACCTAAAGAGGCACTTTCGAACATAAAGAACTAACTGCGTGACGTTGGAAAGTAGCACACAAGTGACATGAAGATTTTCATGCTAAATCTCTAAATCAATCGAAAACACTAAATCCAGGACGTGAATCTAAGCTAAGCAAAAAGTTACAGCAAACTTATTGCGAGATCTTAACTTACCAAAGTTTCAGTTCCAAATATGATTGCTGCTTTGTATTGCTTTAGATCGGCTTTGAAAATATCTTTACGATAAAATTTAGTAAGGTGTGAAAGACATTCTCGACGAGCCCTCCACCGTGAATACAGTATTAGTGGGATGTTCAATTCCAGGCCAACACTCAAATAACCTGCTCTGGCACATTGTAAAACCTGAAGAGCTCTTAACAAACTGTACGCAAATAAACAACAAAATAATAAGATCAATGACAAGAAATATGCTAAAAGTGTTATCGACGTATCATTACAATCCTTTCTCTAGTAAAAAATTTAAAGAATTCTGATTCTTAAAATTCCGAAGATGTAAGGACTTTCAATGAGAAAATACATAAATTTTCAAGCTCAATGGATGGATTCGACAAGAATTAAATGGATGAAAAAGTTGATAAAATAAAAAAAAAATTAAAGCCAAATTGAGGAATAAAGGTAAAATGAAAATAGGCACTTTCTACGGAAAAGTGTCAAAACTAAACGAGATCTCACGATGAATACACAAAAAACTGTTATCATGTTCGCTTTGAAAAAAAGAACTTTGAGATTATGATAATTGCTTTACAATTCGACTTTACGTCATAAAATGTGATATGGAAAACGGGACAATATAACGACACGGTCAAATACATATGTTATCTGAAATCAAATTCCGGAGATCGACAGTAGAATTACATTTGAAACCCCATTAGTCTAAGTTTTCCTTCGTTGAAAACATTCACAGTTTTTACTTTCAGTGGAAACCATAAAGTGTAATACACCGAAATTCATTTTTATTACAACTAAGAAATATAATAACCTAGTCCTTAGCGGATGAAACAAGAAACCCTGAATTCACCTCTTCTTTATTATGATTTAGTTTAATGGGAATAACTCAAAAAAGCTTAACCGCTGTCTCCCTCATACAATAAATTCGCTTCACATATAACATAAGATTTTTGATAAATTATTTGGAGTATCTTACGAACTCCAGTTCCTCCTAAAGCAGTCTTCTTAAACAAATTTTGAAGGCTTAACCTTAAGCTCAGCTTAATTTTCATGTACGAAGAGTGTCTTGACCTCTACTAATTAGAATGATTGATTATAAAACGGTTACAAATGAGCCATGTCTCAAAGAACAAAATCTGCACATATGCATTGGAACACAAAAGAAATGGAAAAGAAAAAGAACTGAGTTTGTGGATGTACATATCGGCGAACAATATGACATGTGTAATCAAAGCGAAAAATCATTAAGTTTGAACAGATGGACCGTATGGAATGTGATGCATTCATATTTTTGAAAATAAATACAAAAATATGCGACAAATTAAATAAACAAATGTATGAGATGAGCAAATTAAATAAACAGATGTATAGGATGATCAAGACAATTTTGTTAATTACCTGCGACATTCAAATTAGATCTATCACATTTTTTTACCTCGAAAAAGGCGAAAAAGGTGATGAGGAAGGCGATGCTTTAAGTTGCACCAGGATTTCAAAAGATCCCAATATCACTTCATGCGTAATCTTTATAAATATTAGTTATCATCATTACTCGCAACAGATTTTTTTTAACCATATCTGAACCTAGAAAAATAGAAAGGAACCCTTAACAGATTATGAGCAGTTCTTCTATTGCGAAAAATACCAAAAAGAAATTTAACAAAGTAATAAAAGAACTTTTCTAAAGCCAGTGAAACCCGTCATGAAGTACATCAAATATTACTGCATTGCATAGCTCCAAATAAATTAACTTGAAAAATCCACACTGAATCCACTTCTGATAAGGGAAAACTCGGCAATTCCTGTACCATGAACTAAAACTTCATTCAGTTGAAAGTATAATTCAAATTAGCCCAAAAAAGATTTACAAAATACCTGATATAAATTATCTGCAAATTCGCGAAAGAGAAGCAAAATATAATTTTCATTCCTTCCCGAATTTCACGTATCTCATTCCCGTCTTTTTCTCTGATACGCTCTCCGTTTTTGCCCAACTGTACAAGCATAAATTACACAGAAGTATGATCCTGCCATTATACATTCCATATGAATTATTAAAAACAAAAAAAAGAAAAACGAATAAAAAAGAACTGGAATTAAAAGAAAGTGTGAGAGAATGACAATAGATAATATGTTCCAGTGAATAAATAGCGATAAGAAACATATCAATGCCTTGTCTCGACTATAGCAGGCGATGATGTGCTGTTGGGATGATAACCGATAGCAATGCGAGCGAATCGCGCGCGTCGCAAGATTTGTCTTCGACTTCTGGATGATTTCTTCTGCTTTTTGACGCGTAACCTAAGATCCTGACCTCGATGACTAACACCGTTTTCTTCATCCATTTTTAACAGCAACGATTCCAAATCACCTTTTTTGATCGGTTTTACTGAAATGTCACGAACGGCTCGGAACTGACCACAATTATTAATGTGTTCGTTTTCTAACCGGAAATAGTTCCATATAAAACGTCGAAACACCTCTAACGGAGCTGTTATACAGGTCAGTAAATCAGATTCCATTGTCCAAGCCTCACCAAGTGAAATGTTAAGCACCCAAGAGAGACGTAATATGAAATCTTCCACAATGGCACCATAATAATACCATTTGCTACCGTAAATCATTTCTTCGCGGAGGAAGGGTGAATCTTTCGGCGCCAATGGATCAATAAGACCCCAGTCCATGAAAATATCCCAAAGAAATGTGTAAGCAAAGCTGAAAATGTAGGATGCAATCCATAAGTAAAAGAATATGCTTGTTGCAGTGGGATCAGTTTTCTCAGCCCAGTGATTAAGAGATTTGAAAAAAACGACGAGGTAGGTGGTAGAATATTTCCCAGCGTTAATAAGATGAGGATGTGCGTGGCCCGTATCGCGGAAACGTCGCAGGCACTGCATAAACCTAACCGTAGCCGGAAAGATCGATACTAGAACACGGATTCCAGATGAACTAGTACACATATCACGACCCGTACTGATATCAACGTAACCCCAAGGAATCGGTTCACTAATTGTCATATTCACTGTTCGAGCCGAAAGGGTCCAATCGGTGTAATCCACTTCTGTGGTGTAAAAACATATAAAATACTGGAAATCAAGAAAGCTCGTTACTAAGGAATTCATTTGGTCACCGAGCCAGAAATCGATGAAAGTAACGAAATGCAGCGGAGCGGTGAAGCAACTGAAGCAATGCTTTAGAATCCAGAAACGACTGTTTCTTTGAAAAATGCTATTCGGTTTCTTCAGTGGATTGAATATGTAGATGACACAAATAATCATTAAAAGAAGAGGAAAAAGAAAAGGTGGTAAATGAATGAGATGACAGTACAGATAGCCCAATACACCAAGAGACCATAACATACACATAAATGAGGCAATCTGCATCACCGACTGATAAGTCAAGTGATTTCGTGGATCCACTTCGAAGATAAGCACATGGTTGACACCAGCTTCCGCCCATCCCCACATATTCAAACCACAAAGCCAAATTGCAACAAAAAGCAACAGTGGACCGCGAAAAAGCCGAACAGCGACCCATTTCGGTTCAGTAGGTCGTGGCTCAGATGCAAACCACGAAATAATGATTGCTATACCAAGTACAACAAATGCTCCAAGGAAGAGACCTAAGGTAAAAGTAGTAGTAGCATGCTGTTTCTCACTTAATGGTGGTACTTTAAGTCGTTTCATCCCAGCTTGTCGATTGCCGCCCTCCAGATCATTGATTACATCCCGTTCCACATTATTGATTAGCGTCTCTACCTCGCGATTCAGAAAAAAAGATGATTTCTCCACTCTGCTAATACGCCAGTCTAGACCCCGTTCATTTTCCATCAATTTGTCATGCTTCTTCAAAATCTTCCGAAATCCCGTTGCATTCAGTTGCTGATAATTCTGTAAAAGAACTAGTGCCAGATAAAATTCGGAGAAGGCTAGTTTCAATTGCTGCGATGTTTTTGCATGTTCTCTGGTGATATTTCGCACAGAAATACTATGCCGTTTAATTCGTTGCCGTAAGGGAGCGGAATCTGTGACAGATTGTATCTCCCGATTTTCCAAAGCCTCCTTGAAAGCCATTAATTCGGCATTTAATTCATGAAATTTCCCTTGAGCTTCGGCTATTTTCTGACTATAAAACAGGTTAATTTTAGTCAATTCTCGTTCGCATTCCGCGAAAAACTTTTCATCCATCCGAGAAACGTATTGTTCCCGAGCTTCCGGTTCCGTCGGCAATCCTGCCATCATTTCGTACAGCATTGATTTCAGCGCCTCGTAACGAATATACTGCTTTCGCCATTCCGGAGTTAAATGACTGGATAACTGTTCGCCGAATTTCATCGCTGAAACACAAAGAAAGTAACAATACAAAATATACTTCAAGAAATTCGTACATAATGATCTAGTAACACGAGTGAACTGCATCAATTAAAGAAGAAATAATAATACAATAACAGACAGTGAGTTCATTAAAATCACTGTTTCAGCTGTAGCGAGCATCCATGACAAAATACTGTTCCCTAATTTTGTGTATAAATATTTTGAAATGCATTGAACCAGCACGGCTTGATTCAGAAAATCTGGAACTTTGTAATCCAGAACTAATGGATCACTAATTAGACTAAAAACAGTCACTTCTTTCCCACCACAATATTATGTAAAATTTTTTTAGACATTGCAAAATGGCAGAAGTACCACAGGGTCCGGCCTATGAATCTTCTAGACAACTATTCTAATATTGCAGCATTATTACTACAATTATTACTACATAATTCGCCAATAAAAAGATAGAGAATATCTCATCAACAATTTTAAAAAAGTTAAGAATAATCGAAAATTTTCCACAAAATATCATTTAGATGATAACAAAAGTCTTCTCACTATGTTCTTCCATCATTTTTAATGAGGCAAAGAGCCTCATTAAAAAGTCCTCACAGTAAAGTTTGCAATGTATACTTTATCTAGCATTCCACCATATTTACCAAAAAAGGGATAGCATGGCAAATTCTGCTTGTGAAGAATATGGGAAGGGACAATGTTCTCCGAAAAAAAAAAATTTTTTGCTCTACTCGAAGCGCAAGAAACACCACTTCAGAAAGTTCGAAAACAGACCTAAAATTCTCAGAAAAAAAAAATGAAAATCAACACAAGAATGAATGATAGTTAAGACTACAAATGTAAAAGGTGCAAATTATTTCTCCGACCATCAACCAAACTTACCTCACTTTTTATTAAAATGACTATAATAGGTCTGTCCTTGCTCGGATCTCTTATTCTATAGCCTCGTTCACTCGACCCTTTTAAATAAAAGGCTTAAATAGTTGATAAAAATCTTGAAAAATTACTTTATCTTGGGAACTTAGTAGTCCATCAAAATTATAGCTTACGTCTTTGAGGAACTGATCTAATAATGCTGAAGTATCAAAGAATTCATTCCTAAATAATTCAAATGATCCTATAATTAAGAACATGCTAACAGATAAGGCGTCTGAAACAATGAGCGTTCGATTTCTGTTGTAAGCATAGGCATTTTCCAGGCAAGGTTTGCTATAGCCTGGATTTAAAAACCTCACAATGAAAATGTCAAACGAAACATGGAGGCATAGAGTAATCTTCCCTTATCCATATATTTAAATAAAGAGACAAACAAATGGAGCAGAGATGCGCACATGCACAATAAATAAGCTTTATGCAGAACGCTTAACCTGTTCGTTTAATCACTGTAAACTTATAGTGAAGAAAGCTTTCACAAGTTTTTTTCAACGATTCGTGTTAGCGAAACCACCAAATATAGCAAGAACATTGACGTGTAGTAAAAAAAAAAAAAAAATGATTGGTGCAGAATGAATTACAGCGACCACCAATGCTAACTTGTAAATCAATAAGGGACAAAGATCGAATGCAAAAGAGAGAAAACATACGAATATAAACTCAATTGAAAGACTGCTCCTTTTCTTATTTACCCATAAAAATTACGTATGAACATTTTATCATTTTTGTACAATACCAACATGTCAGAAAACTGATACCATAGAACTATTTTAAAAAAATATATTTAATAACATTGTCAATCCACGACGGGTTGACTTTTCCAAAGTCATTTCAATATCTTACCAAGCTACTATTTCTTCAAGTAAAAATCATGTCTTTAGTTTTCAAAAGCATTTGAAAACAAATTTGTGAGAAGTAAGATTTCCAAACATCAAAACCGAGCTTGTTTGAAATATAAAATTAGGAATTTTCAACGACTGGTTAATATTTAAGTTAAAAAAAAGAACAAAGACATAAAACGAAAGTAGAAAGTATCCTCCAACAAATGGAAAAGTGGGAATAGAGTCTTAATGGAGCAAATCGTACAAGAGTATAATTTATCCTGAGGACGATTTCGTAGTGTAGCAAACGTAAAGAACCATTATAAATATCATACTTCTACTTCCGTGTATTTATAAACTCCTTTACATCCTACACTGCCACTGCTTGTTCTCGTAGCAAGTCTTACCACTGCGGCTATAAAAAAAAAAAACTACATAGTATTTAGGAATGCACTTTACAGCGGTCTAAATCAAAGTGCTTTAGCTTTAAAATACAACAAGAAATAGTCCATACTGTTCATAAGCTATCAGAAATAATTATATACTTTATAAAAAACAAATATTTACATCATATGCAACGCTGAAAGTATGAAAAATGTACGATTTTGGAATAACTGAACCAATCAAATCTAGCAACTCTTAAAAACTTATAAGGTTACAATCCGCGTGTATATGATTATATTCGCAAAAGTCTCATATTATGATGTCCAGGACACTCTTTCGTTAAATGACCATATAACAGTTCAGTAGTCAACCGCGCTATATCAGGAATCGAAAAAGTCCAAAGACGACAAATGCTTATTTGATCTTAGAATTATTTCTCTGGAACGCTTTTCCTTCATAATGGAGCTTATTAGCTAATGAAAATAAGAAGACCGGTGGCAGTAATTTAACTAGATAGTGAAATAGCTACTTGAATCAAAATCAGTGTTAAGAATGGTTTCAAAAATTTTAAGTTGCTTCCTTCTTGCTGCCGCAACTTCCAGTATTTCGTGTCCATTCTCACTTTCACCCCATCATTAGTTCCATTATCCCAGTTCTGGTGAAGAAAGCACAAAGTCTGAGACAAAAAAAAAGGATGAATAGGATTTCGAACGGCTATTCTTGATTCCCTCGAAAAGAACGCCTTATGACATTCAACACCTATTGCTCGTTACCCTCGTCAAAAAAAAAAAAAAATAAAGGAAAAAAAATTGATCGTACGCTTGTTCTCTATCTAAAGAAGAGACAGAGAACAAGCATACGATCTAAACTATTTGCATATTTTTGCATTTGCATGGAATGAAACTAATATTATCAATGATTTCAGAAAAGGAAGAAAAAACAGCTCACAACACGTCCATCACCGCTACCCAAATCGACAAGAGGTGAGACTTTAGTTGGACACACTGACAACGCAGTGGCAACATTTTGCAGTTGTTGTGGCGTAGCTGGAACATATGGTATGCAGATTTTACGCAATGCTGGAGTGACAAACGGCACACATACAGCCGTTACAGCGACAGCGCTTGTAGCCACCGTACCTGCTGCAATCATACCAGCCAGTCCCATTTGGTTCCTGGAACAAAATCTACACTTTGATCTAAGGTAGCTAAACCGGGGCTTTGGATTCATACCCAGAACTCCAATCTTTTGTAACTTACACTGCATTGAAATTGTCAAACTAACAGAAGCCTAAATCAAAATATCAAGAGATCACCTGACACCATATCCTTAAAACCTTAGAACTGAGCAAAAATACATTCAGAGAATTTCGCAATCTGATCTAAAAGGAAATGTGTTTTCCTCTAAACTAACTTCGAAAACACTTGGGAATCCAAAACAAAAAATAAATAAAAAATGGAAAACAAAAAAAGTAATAGAGTACAGGAAGAGTCTGACACCTTGTATGGTCTTCCGAGCTCGAACAGCTATCAATAAAACAGACCAAAACACAATCAAAATCTAATTCTCCAAATAAACAATAAAAGAGCTAATAATACACTCATATATTGTGCAGCATGCTATCCGACACGATTATCTACATCCGGAGGTGCTTTAAGTGATAGTGATCGCAACTCACTTCACGACAGATATTATACCTTTATAACTTCCTTAACAAGAAACAAGGTAGGACGCCATTTTCTTTAGGTCTGCTCACTTTTGGATTATCTCACCGCCCAAAACTTCGCCGGAAAATGGCGGAAAATGAAAGTGACATCCCCAACTTTACTACCATAAAGTCCCTTCCTATGAAGAATGAAACAAATCCCTAACAAGTAGATAACTACAATGACACACAGTATCTATAAACATGCCTAATCCATATCCTTCAAATTTCAAATTTTGTACTGTTCTATTTTATATCGGTAACTCTAGTCTCCATTACCTTTTTTCTTCTTCTGGCAATCTTACCACCTTATAATTCAAAAGTAAGCATAGCTCGAACAAATCAAATGCTGAAATGTCAGTTAATCAAGTGATAGAAGGAAATTAATTACCTCAAAAAACTGTGTAACCAGTTACAATGTTACCAATGAAATACTTCAGAACTGAATATCCGTAACGACAATGACGACAATAGTGATGCTATCTTCAGCGTTATTCCATACTTTCCACACCGAATAAAACTTGCGTGTCGTTACTTGTTGCGCACTGTAAATTTTGCCCTAGATAATTAAAAACAGTCTCATCAAACCGAAACTTCCACGGTATATCTCAGATGGATATAACAATCACTAGTAACTGCTTCATAAATGCTGGTTCAGGGTAGTCAAGGTACAGATGGATTACGACAGAGGGATTTCTCTCATTGCTCGGGAAAGCGACTATATTTTTTATTGTACTCAGGAAAAATAACTAGGCTTTCTTTATATTGCCAAGGAAAACGGGTTACTAGAACTGGTGCTTGGTCGAACACACCACCAATGATTCGTGAATCATCTTTGTTGATTAAAGATCACGTACCATCGATTTCGAAGACATAAACAAAATATTTCCACAGAAGAAACCTTTACTGCATTCTAACCCTCACATATATACTTGAGTTTGATTTTTATCTCAATCTTTACTGGTGAGACGAGTTATAAACGAATCCCTTGGATCTAATGAATCAGTTGCAGAACTGGAAACAACGATTGGTTTCAGAAACGAAACAAACTGGAAAGATTTTGTATTTCCCCATATACTTCACATTAAGTAATTACAAAAGTGAAACATCTCAGTAGTTCAACTATTTTTCCTTACTTCAAGTTAGTAATGTCATTTTTGAGCCAATTTTAGTATTTTCGATCCTCTGTTTATTTCCATTTCCCATTTCATAAGGCAGGGAAGGTTGAGTTCAAGTATGCATACATATGGTTAGAAAGTAATTAACATATGCATAAGTAAGTCATTCTTCTCAGTCAATTCACTCTTTCTCTCCTCCTTTCTTCCCTCCCTATATTACCAAAATTCTCTTAGCCACTCAATCAGCCAGGAAATCCTATGATCCTCTTAAGCCAAGTAATGTACTTCGCAACTTATTTTACCCAATATAAAAAAAAAAGATTACCTACCCAAACCGTTACCCACCCAACCTACCACACCCGGTCATGTGTCAGTAAAGAAATTTTACAGCACTTTAGCTGCAGCAGATGTTTGAGTCCTGCGGTAATTGTGTTAGTGCACAATTTCTGTAGGGTTTTTTTCATTTTTGGTAGATGAGATTAGGCTTACAGTAAGTTTTCCGGGTCTCAGTTGGTGCTTTTCCGGTTTCCTTCATTTCGGAATAGATTGACTGGGTAAAGGTGATCATTTGTAGATTTAGCTGCTATTGAGGTTTTTTTCCGGAATTCTTTTGCTTCTTATTTTAGGGACACTGTTATCTAATTCCGTCCTTGCGTCATCAAGTTTCGTCCGCATAATTGCTCTGTTTAATGCAAAATTTCAATTTTTATCGATTTGTAAGTCAGGTCTTCGGATTCTGGCATGTTAGTAATGATTTACTGCCGTATGGACATATATGTTTCGTAGTTGTTTCGATCGGAAAATAATTTCCATCTAGCAAATTATATCCAAAATTCGTAGATTTAATACACTATTTCGATAAGTTTAAGGGATGCTTCTTGAGATTGGAAAGGAGAGTTTCTGGTGAGAATACTGTTGGAGTCCGGATAATTCGCACCACCAAAGCGCTTATCATGTTACATGTTAAATGTAAACCTTCGACAATACTTTCATAACTAGTTCCATAAAACTGTTCGTTATGGTCAGCAAACTGAAAAGGATTTATCGCATTAGCTACTAGGCCATTTTGTCGTATTGGCTTTTTGTTTGGGATTTTGATATGATATGGATTACTTTCAGTTTCTTACCCTCGATTTGGCATCTAGTCTTCATTGGTACTGATTCCGAAAGCAAATAAGTTAAATTTCCGTTAAATTTCAGCACTGAAAGCTCAATTCCAAGGAGGCTATACTTTGAAATAGAGAAGCGAAAAAAAGGAAAGTAACATGCCTCCAAATTTTTTCCAAAAACCGGAAACGGCACTTAAACGTGCCCATGAGCTTATTTCTGTTGGCAAGGAAATGGATGCATTGGAAACGCTCCATGAAACCATAAAAGTGAGTTGCTTTTCTCAAAATATTTTAAAGCATATTATGAAAATTGCTGTAGTTTCCTCAAATTCGCTGTTCATACATGCACTCCAGCTATAATCATTGTTCATGACAAGTTAGTCATGTGGATACATTTTGGAGTGCTAAACAAATGAAGAATTGGTTAATCAAAAATATGGTATCCTTGGTTGCCATATCTTCAAGCACCAATTTACAAATATTTTTTGATTTCTGCCGACAGATTTTTGGGAGATCAGGTGGTATAGCAGATTAAGAGTGTTAGAGAGTACAACTTTTATGCTCGCAGTTTTAAGTCTGCACTAACTTACTGACCCAACAGTATTTATTTTGTTGGGAAGGATGGCCCTACTCATGGTACCTGGAATGAAGAAGTCGTATGTTGGTTTTTCAACATTCTTTCTTACGTGGCATTTCCTGTTTCAGTAATCAAGAGCCAGCTTTTCCTTCAAAAATGAGGTAAGCATCGTTGTGCTCTTTCATTCTGATAATCACATGTTCTTCTAGTCAAAACGCCACAAGCAGTGGACGAAAACACACGAAGCAATCATGCTGAAGCATATGGAACTTTGTGTTTCATTACGACGC